AGTCAAGAAAGTTGAAGAATACTTCTCGAGTCTTGGGATCGTTGTCCCTGAACGTGTTAATCCGCCTGATTACTACATTGACATATTGGAAGGTATACTAAAGCCAAGTACAAGCTCAGGAGTTACTTATAAGCAGCTTCCAGTTAGATGGATGCTTCATAATGGGTATCCAGTTCCTATGGACATGCTTAAAAGCATTGAAGGGATGGCTTCTTCTGCTTCCGCTGAGAACTCTGCTCACGGAGGAAGTGCTCATGGGAGCGTTGTAGGAGATGACGGAACATCTTTCGCTGGAGAGTTCTGGCAAGATGTCAAAGCAAATGTTGAAATCAAGAAAGATAACTTGCAGAATAACTTCAGTAGTTCAGGTGACTTATCCGAAAGAGAAGTTCCCGGTGTGTATCAGCAATACAGATACTTCTTAGGAAGGTAGATCCCTTCCAAATACTTGCAAAATTCAATCAATTCACATAGAATCTTTTTCTTAAACTAGATGTGTTTGCTTTGCAGGTTAGGTAAACAAAGACTGCGAGAAGCAAGGACACTAGCTGTAGACTACCTAATACTTTTACTTGCTGGTATCTGCTTAGGAACGCTTGCTAAAGTGAGCGATGAAACGTTTGGTGCCATGGGATATACATATACAGTCATTGCTGTTTGTAAGTAGAAACTTTTCAAGCTGCAACAACTTTGCTTCTTTCTTCAATAACCCTTTTCACCGATTTTCTGGTTTTTCAGCTCTCTTGTGTAAGATTACTGCATTAAGATCTTTCTCTCTGGATAAACTACACTATTGGAGAGAAAGCCGAGCCGGAATGAGCAGCCTGGCTTACTTCCTAGCGAAAGACACAGTTGATCACTTCAACACCATCGTTAAGCCGCTTGTTTATCTATCCATGTTCTACTTCTTCAACAATCCAAGATCAACAGTTACAGACAATTATGTTGTCCTCATCTGTCTTGTATACTGTGTGACTGGCATAGCTTATGCCCTGGCCATACTCTTCGAACCTGGTCCAGCTCAACTAGTAAGTGTCCATTGTCCAATCAATCATTGAGCAAAATGTTGATGATAGAACCAAAGACTCAGACCAGAAAGCTTTGTTTCACTTCTTGACCAAAAAACCACATCTTCCTCTTTTTCTGTGCAGTGGTCAGTGTTACTTCCAGTGGTGCTGACTCTAATTGCCACCAGTACAAACGACAACAAAATCGTAGATTCAATCTCAGAGTTGTGCTACACGAGATGGGCTCTAGAAGCATTTGTGGTATCAAACGCTCAAAGGTTGCAAACTTGATCTCTCCCTGTTATAAAACTCCATTGCAACGCATATCTCTGTAGTCTTTAGACCATCTTGTTTACTCTTCTGTGTATATTTCAGATATAAAGGAGTTTGGCTTATCACTCGATGTGGATCGCTGATGGAGAATGGATACAACATCAAGCACTTCCCTCGTTGCCTCATCTTCCTGACATTAACCGGTATCTTGAGCCGCTGTGCAGCTTTCTTTTGTATGGTAACCTTCCAAAAGAAGTAGCTTTCCTTCTATACCTGCAAATCTGGGAAAACTCAAAAATACCAATTTCTTCCCTATACGCGTCAACTACTCTTCAAGAGAATCAATAGAGGAAATAGAGCAATCACAAAGGTTTTACAAGAAAGAACACATCATTTGCAGAAGATAATAGCCCCGGTACGCTGTTCATAGGTAGCTCCATCATCAGAGTTTAAGATTTTCTTACCTGTAATTCTTCATGTTGTACATCTTTCTTTTGTTTTAGATATAACATAGATCATCACCTGTTCCCTATCGATTCTGTTTTATACACCAAGTAAAAATGTAGAAGTATATAGAAGAAGCAATGAGAAAACCTTCAAGAACTTCCATTACTTTCTTGGCTTAAGATTAATAACATTGTTAATTTGTTTTCCTTTCATCAGCAAGATTTTCAGATCTTAGGACAGCAGAAGAATTTAACTTATTGTTATGCACTGGAAACGAAAGTTGAAAAAAAAAAAAATCTTATTTCCAAATGAGATCACCCATGAACTTAAGTGCGGGAACCCCTCTTATTTCTGCGTCTAGCAATGGGGATTGGATCAATTTTAACCCAGAAAGTTCTGTATCGTTCTGAATAAGTCCAAGAACACGCGTTTGTTCCTGAAATATCAACAACCATATCACATTAAAGTAAAAAAAGCAATGGCTATGCCTATCATATTTACTAAACTGATACTGAATTTAAATCAAAGTTCAGAGCTAAATAAAGTTACCTTTCGTCTCATGGAGCAAAATTTGCAATCGGATTCAGATTGAGGTAGAAGCTGATTAACAATAAGCCTGTGGACTGGCACATTTTCTTTTCTTAAAGATGCATGTAACCTTGAAGACTCGTTTATTGCCATAACCTAAAGGTAAAGACAATAACCGAGTGAATATGTAACCAAATATACCCAAGATTTCGAGAAGGAGACCAGACTTCTATTCAAAATTATACTTAAGAATGTCGAAAATTAAGATTAAGAAGATAATTTACAAGCTAGGTGGTATTACCGTTGGGATGGTTACAATAACAAACTCGGTAGTATTCGCATCACGGAAAACATTTCGAACTTTCTCCATTCTCTCTTTCAGTTGGTCTAACTCGTTAGGCTGTTAAAGCAATGAATGTTCAGAATTTGAAAGAAGGTGAAGGGGAAGTAACGGTTCAAGTGAAAACCTATACTTACAAGTTCTTGTTGTTGTTTCTCTTTTTTGCCAAAGACCGACTTAAAGGCTGAAGCTGCTGCAGTGATCTTCTTCTTGAGCTAAATAATCAAAAATCCATTTAGAAACAAGTACGCTAAACATATCAATTGTGTAAGCAAGCCACAGCCCAAGGCTATATTTCATCCACAAACCTTAGTTATTTTGCTAATGGATGAATCATAGAAGTCTGGGAGGGAAAGAAGCCGCAGAGTATGTCCCTGCAAGAAATTATTTGGAATCATCAGAGTTAGCAAATGCACATACTCTAGGAGCAGTACAAAATTAGAAGAAGAACTAAAAACTAACCGTGGGAGCAGTGTCAAAAACTATACGTGTGAACCTACTGTATTCTGGTGCCTCCATAAATTGAAGAACCTGGAATGAGATCTCAACATTAGTAATTAACATGAAAAGTTTTCTCTTTTCAGGGGAATTCTGAGAGGGATACGTGCCTTGGAAATAGCTGCTATTTCGTCAATACCAGGCGAGGCAGCGTTGAGCATATCTTCAAGATTTAAGTCCCCTAACTACCAAAAATGAACAATACATCTGAGAGAATAAATAAAGTTTTCAATCATAATGGAGGTTTTGAAAAACAACAATAGAGAAAAGGAAGATGAACCTCGCCGGCAAACATTCCGAGCCCCATGCTATCCATCATATTTTTAACACTTTTATCGCCCGTCTGACGTTTAATTTCGTCCTTCATTATCTCAGGTGTTATCTGTTTCAACAGGAGAAGAAAACTCAGCAACATATGCAAGGTATCCAAGAGTGTGCAGAGACACATAGTTTCTTAATCACCTCAAGAGCAAGAAGTGGAGAATCAACACCTTGAACAGGCTTTAGGACTCCTCCTGACAAGTCCTGGATTTCAAAACAAGAGATTAGCTGATGCCTGAAAACACAATCCAAGCGTAAACAAAGAGAACCAAATCAAAAGCTGTTACCGTTACCTGGGAAAAAGAATCGCTCAAGGAGTGTGCAGGGTCAGTTGAAACCACAATGGTAGGATGACCGTGGCTAGCAAACTTAACCGCAAGAGAAGCAGCACAGCTCGTTTTCCCAACACCTCCTTTACCACCCAGAAGATAAAACTTCCGCTGATTCACAGATAGCATCTCATCATAACGAGAAGCTCCTTCAGCAAGAGTAGCTAATGATCTCACTACAAAAACAAGCGAGAAACCAAATATCAAATGACAGAACTTTCTAGATGCAGTTTTAACAGAATCCACTGCTTCCATGGAAAAAATTGCAGACTCAACAACATGTTTCTCATGATAAACCACAACTTATCTTTTCACCAATCAGTAAAGTTCTCATCTTTCAACTCCACAGAGAATCTATAAGTCATGTCATCACTCCAAGAGGACACAAAGATCAGATATTTGCAATTAATAACGTTCCCAATCAACAAGAGTTCTTACAATAGCAAGTAAGAATCAAGTCCAATACACAAACCAAAATTGGATCTAAAACCATAGTCAACTCTGTCATAAAGTTTGACTTTTTTCCAGAGAAAGTAACAAGGGTTACCTCGAAAGAGTGTTCCAGAGATTCTGCCACCGTGAATTTGAGCATTGAGAGAATCGAAACCCAGAGCTCCTGCGACCCGGTGGAGAGAGATTGAGCTAGTAGTTCGCGAAACACGATTGAGAAGAAGTAAAGCCGCCATTGAAGAATTCAGAAGAGAAAAAGGAAAGAACTTTTCCCGGTTAATGGAAGAAATCAGAATCACACTGTTTTGTGGACGAAGCCGGCGACGGAGGAGGAGGGGTTTGCGAGGGTTTTAGGAAATAAAATATTTTTGAGAAAATCGACCAAATTTACTCATTCATAGTTTTTTTTTATTAGTATAAAATAAAAATATGTTAAAAAAATTTAGTAATCAATTTTTAGATCAAAAAAGTTACCTTTCAAATATGAAAATGTGAATATTGTTCTTTCAAATTTGAAAAAAAATACTGCTTATTCTTTCATTTTGAAGTTAAAAATAGAACAAATTTTTGAAATTTCCTTTAAATAATGATTAGTGAGCTAAAATCATAATCCAACTTGTACTTTAATGGATTAAAACCATAATTAATCCATCACCAAAAAACTAATCTTTACGTTCCAACAAAGGTCCATGATAATCATAAACTGAAAATTAAAAAGTATATGTAAAAATGAAAATTGTTTTTTGTAAAAAAAGGTCCAATATTATAATACCCACCACTCTCTAAGTCTCTATCTCAATGACGGTTAAGAGCAGCATCAGCTTTGAAAACTGCTTCTCGTCTTCCTTCACCAAACAACCTCTCACGATCGCTCTCTTCTTCATCTTGAAGCCTAAGCCAAATATATCTCAATATGTCTCATTCTTCTTCTCTTAACCTCCTTCATTACCATTACCTTCCTCCTGATTTCAACCACTCCTCCCGGTTCTGTCTCACTGCTCCATCTTCGTCTCGCTGGTCCAGTCCCGACGATTACTGCTCCATCTTAGCCATGCCCACCACAACTCTCCCTGGCTCTATCTCTCCCTTCAATGTCCCTCATAGTGTTGTGAGTTTTCCTTTCTTTTGAATTACATACTTCCTACTGATCAATTCATATGTAATATATAAATTGTTTAATTTGCATACGATTTGTTCGTATCATTCAAATGTAAATTAACTAATTGTTTACATACAACTCCAATTATATATGAATCTTAAATCTAGTGGTTAGCTCAACGTTTTCGAGAGGGTGACATCACGTCGCGCGGAGTAAAAGAGTTGTATTAACCTTCATATATAAAATCAGTACGTGTGTTTGTCTTATGAAAATGAATTGATCGACTTTAACAAAAAACACAAAAAAAAAAAAAATTGATCGTAGCATTAATCACATTAATGTGATCAGTTGCTTTTGCATAATTTCATTGTTGTATGAATGTCTATGTTTTGAATAAGTTTGAACCTTTTTTTTTCTCATTAGTAAAAGAAGAATCTATGCTTATTGTTTTTTTTTTTTTTGGAAATTTGTTGATGTGAATAGAGGACGAAAAAGCTAAATGGGCAGCAGAAAAAGGAAGAAATAGAGAAAGAGGTATGGGAATCCATTAAAATTAGCTTACCTATATTTATGTTTATGTCTAGGCAAACATCAAGGGATGTTGTTATAAATATGCATCTAATTCGATATATAGATCAAGGTATTATAGGTGCCAATCAAGTTTTCGGTTCAATTTTATCTTTGTTATTGTTTTTTTTTAATGGTATTTCTGATTCTACATTTGTAGTTTTTTTCATTTTTTATGAGGTTAATATTTTTTTAGTTAATTAAATAAAAGTGTATTGATTAATAATTGTTAGGTATGGATGTTACGAGAGATGCTGGATCAAGAAGAAAAGACACGTGAAATATTGGAACAAGTCCAAAAACATCAACTTCCTTCTTCTTCCTCTTCCATTACTCTTCCTGCTTCTCTCCCTCCCAAGGTACGTTTTTATTAGTAACACATATACGTGCAGTGTTCCAAGTTTGGATAGAGTGAGAAAGCAGCAAAACTTTAATATATATGTGATGATAATAACATCATACACATATTTCTGGTAACGTTGCTTTTAAACCAAGTCTCAGGTCAACCAAAAAAATATAATTGTTAGTTAATATTTGTCTAAAATCAAACAAAATTGTTAGACCCCCTTACTGGACATTAGGCGCCTAATCATAAACAAAGATATATACATTTGTTGTGAAAAATAAATAAACTGGTCATAACATTTTATTAAGCGATTAAATATTTAATAAGCTAAGTTACCTTATTTTAACGCAGATGAAGGAACTAATAACGGAACTTTCGATAGTAGAAGGAGAAATCTCAAGACTAGAAATTCAAATAAGCCATCTTCAGATAAATCTCAAGCAAGAACAAGACGAAACTTTGAAACAAGCAACAACAAGTTCATCAAGACGAGCATGGCAAACTAGTGAGAGCTACAATGATGACAACATAACCTCTTATCAAGCTCCAACATTACCAAAATACCCTAAGCTACCACCACCAAGCCCTATGGTGAACAAAGCCATGATGAAGAGTGAAAACAACAACACCAAATCTACTACTAGTCATCATCAAGAGAATGCAACATTTGGTACAAAGACATTGCATTTCATCAACAAAGCTATAAAAGGTGATTACGCGGTCGAAAGCTTCCGCAAGTCTAACGAGAAAGTTGGGACCATCGAGAAGGAAAACCATCGGTCGGTCCAACATGAAAGTAAGTTGCAAGAGAATACGAAAATGAAAAAGATTAGGACGATGAAATCGCCATCGCCTCTACGTGAACCTAGATATTCCTCTCCTAATAAGGTCTGATTTTCATCTATGTTTAATCAAACATATTTTTCCTTCGTTCAATTCAATTTTGATTTATGCTTATGATTTGTTGCAGCCTAATAAGGATCGTGTAGCACTTGATGCATCACTGGACATTCCACCAAAATCTCTATCAAGCACAATCTTGATGGAAGATGGCCAAAACATACAGAAGTGGCATCCAAACAAGCTCGCCGAGAACATCATGAAGTGTCTCAATTTCATCTACGTTCGTCTTCTTAGAACCACAAGAGTCATGGAGCTAGAGAAAACAGGACCCATCTCGAGATCCACTAATTTCTCTTTGAGCTCAAGAAGCTTTAGGGTCGACAATGCAACCTCAAGCTTGTCTAAATCCATGAATCTTATGTCTTCTAAGGAATCAAGACAACAAGATCCTTATGGAATATTTGATGTAGAAGCATCTTTGGCTAGAGATATTGGTCCTTACAAGAATCTTGTTATCTTCACTTCGAGTTCTATGGATTCCAAGTGTATTTCAAGCTCCAGCTCCGTTTCTTTAATCCAGAAACTCAGGTAAGTTTTGGGAATTTTTTTGAGAAAATGTTTATTTACATCGGTGAATCCGCTAAATATCATTATATATGCACAAAATGCAGGGTATTGATGAACAATCTTGAGACCGTGGATCTAAAAGTGTTGAGCCATCAACAAAAGCTAGCGTTTTGGATCAACATGTTCAATGCTTGTGTTATGCATGTAACATATACACTCTACTTCTTTGATATTTTCACTGATTACAAACAATTTTACTATTTCTTCTTATTTTTTTCATGAATTATAAAATCACTACCATATACTCAACGCATCCATAATTTCCGTGTATGACCAGGGATATCTACAACATGGAGTTCCAAAATCTGCTGAGAAATTGCAATCTCTTGTTTACAATAAGGTATGATTCTCTGTTTCTAACCTTCTAATATAAACACTAATTAAATTTAACTCAAATTTGATATAACAAAGTATAAACTATAGGCTACAATGAATGTTGGCGGCAAAAACATAAGCGCTCATACCATAGAGCATTGTATCCTAAGGAAGTCTGCAACTTCTACCATGACTCAGGTATATACATATCTATCATTTCAGTGTATATTAATCCTCTTCATGTTTATCTAAGATCAAGTTCGCTAATTAAGCCGATATATATTCAAATATAACCGTATATAGGATCGACACGAAGAAATGACTATTCGTAAACTATATGGCGTAGAAACAACGGATCCTAACATCACATTTGCTCTCTCTTGCGGAACTCGATCTTCTCCTGCGGTAAGTTTATATATTAACTCAATAGTTGAATATTTATACTTCAATTGGTGATTTATTAGTGTACCTGGTATTGTTCATATTCACTATACATGTTAAGATTATTAATAAGATTATCATAATTTTATCTTATCGTTCGTTTTTCTTAATGTTATATGGTAAAATATGATGCACAAATGGTTGAAATCTTTAAAACTAAAAATTGAAGGTAAGGATATACACTGGAGAAGGAGTGACAACGGAGCTAGAGAAATCGAAGCTAGAGTATCTGCAAGCCTCGGTGGTGGTTACGGCCGCTAAACGGATAGGCTTGCCAGAACTTCTCCTGAAACACGCCGCCGATTTCGTGGTGCCGAGGGTGGATGGTGGTGGAAGTATTGGAGAGATGGAGCAGTTAGGATCTCTAGTGAAATGGGTTTGCAACCAATTACCAACCTCTGGATCATTGAGAAAATCAATGGTGGATTGTTTTAAGAATCCAAATTCCAAAGCTTCTTCTTCCTCCTCCGTCGTTGAGAAGATACCTTATGACTTCGAGTTTCAGTATCTTTTAGCCATTTAGGGTACTACTACTGATTTTTTATTCGTTTATTTGTGAAAATGTTGTGTTTTCAAATAAAAATATCAAAGTTTGTATTATTAATTGAATGTTTGATTGTATTACTGACATGTATATGTTTGATCATAATCATCTTACATCTTATAGATTATCCCGAGTAATGAGATTGATATTAATCAAACCCTCTAACGCAATGCGTAATATTTTCAAATACCTTTTCATTTTATATTAAAATGTACTTTTTTTTCTTTTTTTTTTTTTTTTTTTTTTTTTTTTTTTTTATAATTAAAATGTACTTGACTTACTAATTTTTTTGTTTCTTTTGTTAAAAGATACAGAGACACATAGTTCCTAAACAAAACCCATCTTGCTATTTCTCAAATTTTTTTAATACTTTTGTCCACATTATCTAAGTATGGAGTTAGCTATGAACTATTTATTATTTTTTCTAAAAAAATCTATTTATCTAAGATGTTGTCACTCGTCAGCATGAATTACTACTGCACGAAATTACGAATTCTTATTAAGTAATTTTTTTATTTGTTGATAGATCCAGGTTTTAATATTATTTAACATACACAAGTATGTTAGTTTTCATGAACCTAATCTTGTGTATCACAAAAGTTATACTGTAGTTTCATCCAAAAAAGAAAAAAAAAAACAATTTATAAAGAATGTTTCGATGTCAACAAAAAAATGTTTGACGATATATTCACTCTCGTGATTTTTGAGATTTTTAATACTCTCGTGATTCACTCAGCTTTAGTAATACTTTAAACTAAAGATGAACCAATCTATCCTTGACAATGAATTTCATGTTGCGTTATCCAAAATAGTATATTAGGTTGCTTTGTTGACCAAATCGTTTATCTTTGACTTCACATTATGTCCAGAACCATTTGAATAAAAACCATATTTATACAATGACTTTTTCTTAATAACATTTAACACTGAAAATCCTACTAATTAAGGCATATATGCAAAATGTCAGATATTTGGTATATGATTAAAAAAAAAAATGAAAATATGAGCTAACGTTACTAGACCATAGTTACTAGACCAGCATTCGATAGAACTTGATTCATAGTTTGGAATCCTTAACCACTAGACTAACGTTACTAGCCCGTCGTTTTGTTGTGTTTATCTCTTTAACATCTACATCGTTTTTGTTTTCTATAGACAATCACAGAAAGAAAAACTAACAAACAAATACTAATTTTCTTTATCAAAGAAAAGAATGAAATAATTTCGATTAACAAACAAAGAATAATTAATGGCAGCACGTATCTTCTGTTGATAAAGAATAGTTAGGAAGCGAAAAGGTAATGTAATGTTTTAAGTTCAAACAAAACGGCGGCGATTTAAGTCAGAGAACTCAATGGAAGATTCAGCGCAAACCAATGAGAAACTTTCAGCTTTGACATGTTATCCAAATCAATTTCTTTTTAAAATTATAAGAAAAACAATTAACGTTTTTCATTTGACATTTCACTTTCTTCATCGCTGTCTCTATTATCTCAAAATCAATAATATACACATATATCAATATATCAAATAATATCTATAATATATGTATTAATGTATATGTGTTGCGCATGAAATTTATAAGAAAAAAAAAAAAGGAATATTATGAGAAGGGTCACATGATACCGTGGATGCAAATAAATGAGACCGTTTTTTAGAGGCCTTTTACTATGGGAGATTGACTTTTGATATCAATCTCCAATGTTTATTTTTGTTAATGTACGCCAATGTTTATTAGTTTTACACACTGTTACACACACATATATAACGATGCCATATATAAGTTATGACTTCCAATTTTGTTGTTAAAAACATATTAACCAACATATACTGTTTATAAAGAATACGTTTTCATTTGGTTATCTGTAGTCCTATCGAAAAACCCACATCGTATTCCTAGGTTTCCCACATGTATGATTATTTTACCAACTAATATCTTGATATAAAATATTCATGGTCACAACCAAAAACATATCCGATATAAATCTGCACTCTAATGTTTGGAAGGGAATCCGAAACATAAATGGCTTTTAGATATTTGGTTTTTGTGAGTTAATAATTTTTAATGTATCATCAATCTACCATACGTATGATTTAAATGAATAAAATGATAACAATAATATAATATTTTCAAAGATGCGGACAAAATCTATGTTATTTATGAAAACATGCGATTAATTGAAATTGAAACCAATTTATTTATATTTTGCCATCCATCATTTCTACAAAAAAAAAGAATGAAAAACATGAGAGAATTGAACCAGTTTTATTTATATTTTGCCATCCATCATTTTTGCAAAAAAAAAAGAAGAAGAAGAGGATAGAATTTGGCGATTTAATTTACAAAAAGAGATTTCTCAAAATCTCATTAATTATTAAGATATTTTGTTTTGGACATGGTTTTCTCCATGAGATTTTTGTTTCCTCTGAATATTGTTTTTTCCTTCTTTTCCTATGATGGTTGACACCCTGTAATAGACTACAATTTCAATATTCTCCACCTAATGAATGGGTTCTAATTAATGGCTATGAAGGTTTTTGCTTTATCTTTGTCCCCTCCTTTATTTTCCTATCCTCAACTCATTTCTCTTCGCTTTTTCTTCTCTTTTTCAACCAAACTTAATGCATTTCCTTATCAATTTCCTCTATTGTATAAATGAGTTACTACACTTCCATAAATTTATACCCATACCTTCACACATACACATGCACATAGCTTAAATAGTTTATCAACCGCCCATCGTTGAATTACTTTAACCTTATTTCAAAACAATTGACTTATGAATGTAAGAACTTATTACATCATTTGTTAACTTTCAAAGAATACCAAACTAATGTCACTAATGTAGAGACTAGAGAGAAGCCTTCTTGTGCTCATATATATAATGGTGCATTGGCAGCAGAGCCGTAGCTGGATAGAAGCAAGAGAAGCGGGAGCTGCGGCCCTCCGAGAAGTTATTAATATTTTCGGCCCTCAAATATCAATGTGTTTTGGTAGCCTAGTGGTATTATGTCATACACCACATATCTTAGGTCATGAGTTCGAATCACCTGAAGCGTGAGATAAGGTTTTTTTTTGTTTTTTGTTTTTTTTTTATGGTTAAATTTTTTTATAAGTATACACTTTTCTAGAACGGCCCTTTTTTTTTTTTCGCGGGCGGCCCTCATAATCGTTGCTACGGCTCTGATTGGCAGAAAGACTCTTTGTTTTGTTTAATTTGACAGAAATACTTATTTAAAAGATTTTAAATAACAAAGAAAATAATAGCTATGCTAGAATCTACTATAACTTCCAAAATTTCTTTGGATAATTTATTCAGGTCTAAACTTAGGATTTAGATTCTTGTTTTATATACATGTAAGTAATTTTGTTTTCTATAGAGTAGTGGTTATACTCTTTAGGTAAAAGTTGTTGAACCATCAATCAATCTATGACTCTGTCTATTAAATTCCATCGAAAGAGTTCTTGCTTGCGGAAAGAAGAGAATCCAATACAATATGTATATTTGATCATAAAATATCCAATTTCATTCACATTGTCATGTTTATGATATGATCAAGAACATTCACTATTTTGCCATAATAGCTTAAACTAATTTGGAAAAGTTTTGCAAGTGAAGGTCATGTAGATTGTATAATGCAATATATGAATTATATTAGTATTTAATATAGTAAATATCAATTGCCCAAAATACTTGAGACATTAAATAGGTAAATAGTGTAGTTGCTAAAAAAAAGTAAACAAGGCAAGGTAGCTAATTTTTGTAAAGTCAACAAGATCATTAATTTAGTAGATTGTATGCACAAGGCATGCATTGATTAATTTCCAACTACTTCAACGGCCATGGCTTAAATCTTACAAGTTTCACGGTAAGTTTCTATCCTTTTTTTGGGTATATGAGACCTAATCAAACGCTAAGCATTTATAATATTACTATATTAGACAACTTTCTAATATAAGGAAATAAAATTATATGCCCATTGAATGAGATTATTGCGTAGAAATCCTTTTTCTTAGGATCTTTAACAAAAAAAAAAATCTTTTTTCTTAGGATGGCAAAAAAGTAAAATGTACACAAAATAAAAATTAAAAAAAAATCTCAAACCGAAATTCATAACTTCGCATTATTATTTTTTTTTAAAAAAATTTTAGCGAGTCATAAGTGTCGTCAAAATCATCTACTAAATTTTGGCAATAAAAATAACTGTAATAAAGTGTCAAATTATATGATGTCATATTTTGGAATGTCAAGACCATAAAATCATTAATTACCAAAACGGTGTCGTATTTATATAATTACTTGTAAAGTAAAGCGGCGTATCAAAATCAAAACCAAATTGAGATGTACTTAGTATTAATTTAGGAAACAAAAATAATGAAGAAAGTAAAAGTCGTATCTGACCAATAAAAAAAGGAAACTCAAAAAATCAAAGGTCAAATTAAACTTTGGTATAAATCCCAAGTTTTCATGATTAAAAACATTGACCAAATTACCCTTCACTCATCCATCATCCTAAAAAAAAGGTCAAAAACTTCACCACCGTCTCTCTCTCCTCTTCTCTCTGCGCAGAGAAACTTTGCAATTTGCAACACATTCATTAACCCAATCTTTCTTCTTAGCTCAAACAAATCTACAGAAGAAGAAGATAAGAAGCTCAAGATTCTCTCCACACAAAAAAAAACTATCAAATTTCATCATTGATTTTGCTATTATAAGAAATGGGAAGCAAATGGCGAAAAGCAAAGGTGGCTTTAGGTCTCAATTTATGTCTCTACGTTCCCAAAACGCTTGAAGATTCTTCTTCTCCTCCAAGAAGATCCGACGACACCGTTTCACTTTCTCCGGTTATTGTTCAAAGACCAACAACGCCGGTTCCTTCCTCCTCTGGTCTCCGATTACCTCGTTCCATGAGCAAATCTTCATCAAAGGTTCGTCCTTTACGTTTTTAAGAATTGTGGCTTCGTCACAATACATAAAGTTTGGATTTTTATTTCGTGTTTTTGAATTTTTCTTTCTTTTTTTTGATATTTTCTCTGCCAAATTTTGTGTTTTTTTACTTAAAAAAATGGTAAAGTTTGATTTTTTCGATTATGGGTCACCGTTGGATCACCGGATCTTTGTGTGGTTTAAATTTATGATTTGGTTAAGCAGCAAATCCAAGGGCTAATCTTTCTTGGAACTCTAAAACTAATGTTAATTTACTTTTTTTACTAGCTGTTATTGTATCTAAACTTACTTTATTATTTGTTTAATCATTCAACTAATTTCCTTTTTCTAAAAAGTGTTTGGATCTTCACGCACATCAAATGATTTTATTAGCTGTTGTTTCATATAATTAGATGTGTTTATTTTCAACTACTATGACCCTCATATGTTTTGTGTCTGTCATCAACTTATAATCTGTCAATAGGTTTGTTGTTTTAGAGACCTACAAGCTTTGAAAGTATTGACCTTTTTGAAAACTATTGGTGAAAGAAAAATAATGTTTTAAGAGGGCTAAATGGGGATTAGTAGATGAATATGTAGAATGATTAGTGAGATTAGTAGTACTTGGTAAACGTCTCTGCTCTAAAACTAACTTTATCTTATGATTCGAATCATTATATCTTCATCAAGAATTTGACATTATAGCTGGCTTGAGATTGGCTTTCTATTTGTTCTGTCTCTTTCCCTGGTTTATAGTGCCTTTTGTTTCTTTCTTCTTTTTTTTTGTTTTGTTTTTGAGTATAATTTTTCTTGGTAGTGTTGAAGAAAGATGAAAATTTTGTTGTCATGTAATTATCAACTCTCCCAAATGGAGCCACTGTGGGGATAAAGTTTTTTGACAATAGTCAAGTGCACTTCAAGGACCAATCTTTTTTTTGTTGCTTTTTTTTGCATTCAACTTTCTAATTATTGTTGAAAGATACCCTTCTTAGTAGTTCTAAATAATCTCTACTGTTAATTAGATATTCTCCTTAATCTAGTAAACTTTTCTGTTCGTGTATACAGTACTAGTATACATCTAGTTAAACTAAAATTGCTGTTTTAAATCCTAAGCAATATAATTGTTAGTTTTTAACCATGAAATTACGTAACTCTAGACATAAGCATTTGGTTTAGCTTTTAAAGTTTCACACTTTCTTTAACTTTGCTTTGCATTGTTGTTGTTTTTTGAAGTTTGATCTTTCTGGCGTTGAATTTGCTTAAAAAAGCTTTTGATTACTGGTCTGGTTAAATCAGTCCTTTAACTTTATAAAGTTGTGTCCTTTGTCTTTCCCTCTCTTTTATCCATTATTCCATTGTTCTTTTAATTGTTTGACTTGATAGATTCCAAGATCCAAATTCTAAGAAATAAACCATCTTTTTGGTCCCAGGATTGTTGAATGATCAAACTACTAAACCTAATGGTTAAAACTTAAACTCAGTCTCTGAGACTTTTTTTTTCTTCCAGGTTATGGAAATAGAAAGATTCCATCTTTTTTTAATGTTTGCTCTTCTTTTTATGCATCATTCAATAATAGAGGCTCATAGTAACAGAAACAAATGTGTCAGAGACTATGACACAAACTCACTTATGTCAGGTTTCTTTGGATTCTTGTAATTACTACAATGACCTGTGTGACTCTGTATTACGTGGATACCATTCTCTTCTTCTAAAGTTTTAGTTTCCTTCAAACTAAGAACCTTTAACTAGAATCTGAAAGCTCATTGTTGTATTCTGCTTTGTGAAATTTGCAGAAAACTTGTGCGATATGTTTGACGGCGATGAAAGCTGGTCAAGGCCACGCCATCTTCACAGCGGAATGCTCTCATTCGTTTCATTTCCAGTGCATCACTACGAATGTTAAACACGGGAACCAGATTTGTCCTGTTTGTCGCGCGAAATGGAACGAGATCCCTCTTCAGAGCCCTAATGCTAAGGGTAAATCTGGTGTCAAACCGATAGGTCGACCAAGGGATGATGCCTGGATGTCAATACCTCCACGGAGGTCGTCCCCTATTCAGTATACTTCACGGCCTGACTGTCTAAGGGTCTCCTCGATCTTTAACACCGAGCCTGCGGTTTTTAATGATGATCAAGCTCTGGAACATCAAGACCGTTCTGCTGAATCTGGTTTGGATAAATCTAAACCTGGTGTTACTGGGACATTGGAAGTTAAAACATACCCAGAGATTTCGGAAGTAGTGAGATCGGTTTCCTTTAAGGATTTTGCTGTACTGATCAATCTAAAAGCTCCTACTGCTTCAAAGTCCCCTTCAAATCCATCGTCGTCTTCTCGGGCTCCTGTCGATCTAGTTACGGTACTTGATGTGAGCGGAAGCATGGCGGGAACAAAACTGGCATTGCTGAAACGAGCAATGGGTTTTGTGATTCAGAATCTTGGCCCATTTGACCGTCTCTCAGTTATATCCTTCTCCTCCACAGCACGCCGTAACTTCCCTCTCCGTCTCATGACCGAGACTGGTAAACAAGAGGCGCTTCAGGCGGTTAATTCGTTGGTCTCAAACGGAGGGACTAATATTGCAGAGGGATTGAAGAAAGGCGCAAGAGTTTTGATCGACCGTAGATTCAAGAACCCGGTATCTAGCATCGTGCTCTTATCCGATGGTCAAGATACATATACCATGACTAGCCCCAACGGTTCCAGAGGGTCGGATTACAAAGCCCTTCTTCCTAAAGAGATCAACGGAAACCGGATCCCAGTTCACGCATTTGGGTTTGGTGCGGACCACGATGCTTCCTTGATGCATTCCATTGCAGAAAACTCCGGAGGTACATTTTCTTTCATAGAGTCTGAAACGGTTATACAAGATGCATTCGCACAGTGCATTGGAGGTCTTCTTAGCGTTGTGGTTCAAGAGCTATGCGTTAAGATCGAGTGCATTCATCATCTGTTGAGGATAGGATCCGTTAAAGCTGGAAGCTACCGGTTTGATAACGGTCCGAATTCGAGAACCGGATCTATCGCAGTTGGTGATCTCTATGCTGAGGAAGAGAGGAATTTCTTGGTGAATCTTGATATCCCCATCGTCGAAGGAGTTTCAGATCTGATGTCCTTAGTCAAGGTTCAATGCGTTTACAAAGACCCGGTGTCGAAAGAGACTGTTAATTTGAATAATTTCGGCGAAGTAAAGATTCTCAGGCCAATAGTGATGACAGAACGAAGACCTGTAGTGTCAGTTGAAGTTGACAGACAGAGAATCAGATTACGTGCGGCAGAAGCAATCTCTGAAGCTAGGGTTTTAGCCGAACGCGGTGATTTGACAGAAGCTGTGTCGGTTCTCGAGACTTGCCGTGGGGTACTGACGGAGTCTGTGTCGGGTCGAGCCGGAGATCCATTGTGTATCACACTGTGTGCAGAGTTAAAGGAGACGCAAGAGAGAATGGCGAGCCGTCAAGTATACGAGGCTTCGGGTAGGGCTTATGTGCTCGCCGGTCTGAGCTCGCACTCGTGGCAGCGAGCAACGGCTAGAGGCGACATGAGCGATACAACCACGACTTCTTACCAGACGCAATCAATGGTGGATATGGTGAATCTCTCACAGACCATGACTTTCGGAATGCCTATCGCTAGTTCTAATTCGAGTCCATCGGGGCAGAGGAAACTCAGGCAAGCTCTAAGTTTTCCGGCGAGACCAAGGCCTAGGTGATTGGTCGAAGGGCATAATGGGGATTTGACGTATGGATATTTTAATTTTCCCTCGTCTTTTTTTTGTGATTTCTTTCTTAGTACGATTTGTTTTTTCAATTGGGAGGGGTAGTTTAAGCTTAATTTCTCAGTTTTGGGGGTATAAGTAGTATTAATAGCTTCTGGTGGGGTTGAAACAAAAAAAATGGGACAATTGTGGAATTGGTGCTTATTATATAGGTAATATATATATTGGCATTTTTAGCAAGAGCAGCTTCGTTTTTTCTTTCCTTCATTGCACTTATGATTTTGTTATAATGTGTTTGGTCTTTGGTGGGTATAGGCTTGTGAGTTTGGGATTGTGGAATATTACAATTATATATACTTTTGCTCCCTAAAAATTCCAAACTATTCTTCTTGTGTTTAATGTAGAAAATATGATGATAAACAACATCAACAAATATTTCGCATGTAGTTTGTTCAGCTAAAATTATTTTGCTTTTTCTAACTTTCATTTTCATTCATTCAGTACTAAACAAATTTTAGTCAGCATCAAATGGTTGAATTGACGGTTTTTTGTAAAAGAAACAAAAAAAACGCTAAAAACCGGCGTAAATTCAGCGAAAGGCAGTAGTGGGCTTAATATAAGAGAAATCCAAATTTAATTATGGGCCTTAATACTCCCCAACCAGTGGGCTTGTAATGCAACTACATCATGTATAGTTTGGAACTTTGAAGTATGTGGTAGTTGATAGCCAAAAAGATCTCTGGTTTATTGATTGTGTTTGTGTATTAATGACCAAGATTACATACGTTTAATCCAATTTAAAAACCGAATAGTAGTAGACATAGTATGTAATAGAAATTGACTCATCTATCATCAATCGACCATGAGAAGCAAAAAGAAAGTTAACAAAAAAAATTATCATCACGAATTCACAAACGTCCTAAATTTTTCTTGTTTATAGAAACGACCTAAATTACTTTCTTATATTCCCGCAACACAAACGTACATTAAGTAGTTATTTGTGTATATTATTTTTAGTGCGTAATGTAAATTTTGTTTGGTATTTTAAAACTGAAGAGAGGACATATAAATCGATATGCGACTTGCCTCACGTGCTGTAGCCTGTGTTCTTGGATCTCAAGATCTAGTATACCTCAAAATTCTCTCAATAAAGTCAGAGTATTTATATTTATTTGTAAAGTCAAATAGTTATTTATCAGCATTTTCTATTAGAAAAATCAGTTGAAGAATTTTATGTTATGAATAAAAAAGAATTTTCTGTCAGTCGAATTTTAAAAACTATTTCCTCACCAAATCCCGCTCGACTAGTGAATGGCCGCTATCTCATTTTTAATAAGGTTATTGGTCGAAATGGTAAGTTTATGTTCCAAAGAGGACCATGATATGACCAAGGACAAATATATTAAGCTAAAAACAAAAAATCAACGACTATATTGAAACTAGCCTAATTTGATGGACTCTTACATAGGAAACTTAATTCTAGACATATAAGTCAATAGCAATGAATGCAAGGAAAAAAAAATCTGGTAGATCATTGATCAAGTGAGTTTGATATCTATAGTCGTACTTTAAACCAATTGGATATCAGGTCGTTAGATCAGATTTGACTCTTTAGATGGCGACATTCTAAGAAGCACACGATAGAATATGATACTGTATTACTGTATCTTGTATTTATCTGCAAAATATATGTAGCAACGCCAAAAATATGTACACTGATGTATATAACTTCTTTAGTTTGTATAATCCAATATCTTGTATAGTTGTATGGTTCGTGTTTGGCTTTTTCTTTTTAGTTTTCAGTCTCGACTTGATACCTATAACTAGGACTTTCTAGCTCGTTGAGATGTTGCATGTATCATGAGCTCATATATGCCTCCTGGAGTCCTGGTATGAAATATATTGCAACAAGGCATCGGCTCTAACAATCTTATAGCACTTGGTTCGACTACACGTTGTAAATGCTCGATGAATAAAGATAGGTCCCGGAGCTAGACCTAGACTCCTTCAATCCTAGTGAGGTGTTGATAACCTCCGAATCCTTTTTCCTGCCAGATTAGTGCATATGGGACTATCATTTTCTTAGTTCTCTTTGGTGATCCAGACGTATGTCATTCTCTCTATGAATAAAACAGATGTTTTACATTATTTCTAATATTTTTCAGTCGAAACTATATGGAAATTCAAACACAAATGAAATTCTTATGTGGAAAATTAATAATATATATATATATATAGTTACAGAAATCAAATAGGGTGGAATCTAAAAGTGTTTTTGTTACTATGTTTAAGAAGAAATATAATTTTTTTTTCTATGATTATGATTCCATTTATCTCTATTTCATAATTTTCATTCATATGTGTAATCAATTAATTCCGCTCATGCTTACTATTTAGACACTAGATTTCACAAATGAGATTATTAAGAGCTCTATTTTTCTTCACATGCATGATGCATCAACTTGCTTCGGTGGCTTTTCTCTGCCAACACTAACTTTCTTTTTATAAGTCTTTCCTTTTTTAGATATTATTTGTTGTTCTAAATAATGACAAAAAATTTCACTATTTTCTTGAGAAGTTAAAACTTATTATTCATTGACATAAATTATATATGGATTAATATTACACTTATGTCAAATAAACGCCGTTGATTAAATTAAATATGAATCTTCTTAATTAGCTCGATTAGTATATAAATTCACATGCATATGTATGAAGTTGTTCTTTTTTCAATTGAACATGTGAAAATATATCATAAGTTAAAATCAAAATATGTGACATGAATCAAACCTCATCAGCGAAACGTAAATTATATAATCTAATAATAGCGAATTTCATCACCACTTGTACATCGACTTTGAATCAGACATATATATGTATACGCGTATACACATTAGAAAGTGGTGTACTTGACACTACGAAGTTGACAAATACTAAAAGCTAAGTTTGGTGAAGTTCTAATAAGTAAATTGCACTATACATTTGTGTTCATATGTCGGTCCATATATATTAGGTACAATGAAACAACGAAGCTGCTTGGTCGTGAAAAAAGAGTTGGTTTATGATAAGTCAAATTACAACTCCTTTGGAATAATATATATCACTACAACATCTTCTATTTTTGGAGAGACCGGTCATCATAAATCAAATTTCGTTAGAATTCACTTTTATGTCTAGTTTGTCTCCAAACTTATTAGTTACCCAGAATTATCCTTTCCACACCAAACATAAAATAAGTAAACCGTACAACTAAGTAATTGTAATATGGCCGGAGGATTCTCTTTTTTTTATATATAGGTTACAAAAGGTTTTGTGTTCTTGATGATCAGTAACATTTATGAAAAAAATTTCTTGTAATTAAATACATTAATTGAAACTACAAAAATCACATGAATTGATCACATTGAATATTTATTTGTGTCTAATCGTTCACGTATATTGATGATTTGTGTATATATGTACCTGAAATGAGTCTAAAGAAGCAATCGACGTCAATGAAAAAGGTAGCAATCATGTTCATCGTATTTTCAATTGGATGATGAAGGATATAATTATATTCTTAATTAGAGTCACACATGTGTGACCGACCTCATAACTCCTAATTAAAGTAACAAATAACTATGAATTAGTAGTAATAAAACTATGATAATAATAATCATGTATTAGCGACTAGTAATTTTTTATATACAATCCAAAGAAAACATAACGAAAATGTTGACAGTTTATACTCAAGGGATAAAAATATCACAAAGCCAAAATTCAAAATTTGTGATTGTTTTGAAATATTTTGTTGATTATATATTTATATTGAAAGGAAAAAATGTCATTTGTTACTTTATTTTCAAAATCTGATCATCATTCGCTATGAGACAAACGAATAATCTTAAGTGAAACAACCACTCATAAGAAATGCAACATCAAAGAAAACTGAGCGATCACTTGATGCTATATTAATGGGTCAGAGCACCAACACCAAAATATGTCTTTATACAGAGAAAGTGTATGTTTAAATATCTCCATGGTGTATATCCAAACATATAAAAAAAAGTCTCGATGATTTTTTTTACTGAATTTAGCTGGTTTGAAAAATTGAGGATGCAAAGCTATAAATTAAAACTACGCATATATAAGTTTTCTTTATTTTAAGTACAGTTAGTTCAACAAACAATATGGTTTTTTTAAAACAAAATATATATTGGAGACACTATTTATTTCGGGTTACCAGATCTAAATTCAACTGCACATGGAACAAAAAACATATTCATTTTTTAAAAAAATGACTAGGCTCTCAATCCAAAAGATATGGACATCTTCAAAAACTCCACGGGTTTAAGAAAATTATTACCTACCTTTTCAACCTTTTCTTTTCTTGTTATTATTTAGTTTACATATATCGGTCCAAAATGGAAAATTTCAGGTAAAATGTTCGGCTAAAATCCATTAAAAATTAGAATATTGAGAAAACAAAGAAGCTATAATATAAGCAAAAGGTGGCAAATTGCTGCAAAGTTCAACTACGTATCTACGTGCAATTTGCAAAGTCAAACCGTCGCTTGTCCGAGACATTTGTTATAAAATGTTTTTATACTCCAAACTTTTCAATAACTCATTCTCTACTCAAATCTTTCTTTCTTCTTTGAAGTCTTCAACTCTATTTTACTTCAATTTTGTAGTATTCAAGGAGAATCTGTACTATAATCTAATATATCTTGTGGATCGATTGTTGAAGAAGAAAAGGCTTGACTCTCACAATAGGCTCGATCATGTACACAAAGGTATTATACTTTATGTTCTCCTTCTCGATTAGGCTGCATAAATCTTAAAATTCTCATATCATAGTACTATAAATGAATAGAGTACATGCATGAAAACTGATTTTGTTTCCACACCGAGAACATTAAATTTAGTCAAGCTTTTGCCTTTTGAACAAATCTAAGTTAAGTGAATGTTAAACTTTTCTACTCTCTAGTTCATATATATTGATGAAACTGAAATATAACTTTAAAAAGATATATATTTGATTCTTAGAAATATGATTGAAGTATTGTAAAAAAAACAAACAAGCATAGCATATGGAAGTGTTAAATGCAAGGGTAACCCTTTTATACGCCAATGAACCCGGCTTTTCTCGTTGAGTATAGTCCTAATTATCCCCTTTTTAATATATAATCATCATAGTTTCTTGAATAATAAAACAATTTAATAAGTTATACAATATAACGGTATCGCGTAACCTTTTTCATCCAATTCAACCAATGAATGAAACAAATCTTGTTTTTTTATTCACACTTTACTTTATTCTTAATGAACGTTTACCCCATGTGATATCCTCCTTATGTAATGCTTCTTCACCCACAAATCTCACTTTATATACATATATGTTTATGCCTTATTCATCTATATATAAACATTGCTTCTAAACAGTTTATAGAGAGAATAAAACCACCAACTTCTACATTCTTATTTCTCTTTTTTTCTTCTTATAATAAGGTTTTGGGTTCTGAAAAAATGGGTTTTATACGGCCACCGACGGTGAGAAGCGGCGATTATATAGAAAGCATTTTCGGGGAATATTCCGCCGGGAAACCAAAACCTAGCCGGAAACTTAACTCGGCCAAGTTCGTGACGGCGTTGACGTGTCTTCAGTTCGCATTTGCCGTCTACGCCACCGGACTTCTCTACTACATGAGTCCTTCCATTGACTTAAGGGCCAAGCCAGACTTCACTTGGGCCACTAAATGGGCCCATAATATGCGTAATTACATTGTTACCCCTCACGTCGTCAGCCATTACCAAGACTCTGCCTCTTTTCTCAAATCGGAGAATTTTCCGGCGATGGTTTCACCGGCGGAAGTTTGCGAGTACGAGAAGATAGATTTCTCGCAGAAGAAATCAAACGACGAGCAGATGATCAAGATGAAGAGAGAGTTATACGACGACGTTTTGGGATACCAGAGAAAGAATCTTGGGTCAGAGAGTTTAGAAGAGTTGATGAAGATGAAGTCAAAATGGGCTTTAAATGGGCCTAAAAAGCCCAAAGTAACAGTAATACTAAACCATTTCAAGAGGAAAACACTTTGTGCCCAGCTTGATTCTCTTCTCCACCAAACGTTGCCGTTTCACCATGTCTGGGTTTTGGCCTTCGGTAGTCCTAACGAAGCATCTCTCCGGCGAATCGCCGGAAGTTACAACGATTCTCGAATCAGCTTCATCAGCTCAAACTACGACTTCAAATACTATGGAAGATTCCAGATCGCGCTTCAAACAGAAGCAGATCTGGTTTATATCCTCGACGATGATATGATTCCCGGGAAGAAAATGCTTCAGATGCTCTCACACGTCGCCGGAACTGAGAAGTACGAGAACTCAGTTTTAGGAAGTATCGGACGGATTTTACCTTTCCGGCAAAAGGATTTCACGTTTCCGAGCTATAGGAAGTTTAGATCAAAGGAAGCTGGGCTTTATTTGCCTGATCCGGCTTATGATATCACTTTAGATCGGATTCTTCAGGTTGATTTCTTATCAAGCTCGTGGTTCTTATCGGCGGAGCTCGTGAAAGCGTTATTCATCGAAAAACCATTCACATTCTCTACCGGCGAAGATCTTCACCTGAGGTTAGTTTCGTAATCCTGAGATTTTTCTTGGGAAATTGAAATCTTTGAGTGTATAATAAGGCAGTGTTTATAATTATAATCTAAAATCATTGTTAAGTAACGTCTAGAAGATGATGAACTTCATGAGTAATTGAATCACGTGTTCTGTTTTGTTCCTTGATTATAAAAAAATTAGATTCAATTCTCTGAAAGTTTAAAAAAGGAAACTTTTTTTTTGTTATGAAGTAATAATAATTGTGGTTTTGATTTATTTTTTTTTGTGTTTTTGCAGTTATCAGCTTCAGAAATACAGAAATGCAGGTTCTTTTGTTCTTCCTGTTGATCCAAATGATAAGGAGACATGGGGAGATAGTGAACACAGGTTAGCTTATGTCTCTGAGACTACTGTGATTTTCAAAAACATTGTTGAAGTGAGAGATAACCAATGGTGGAAAGCGCTTTCGACGGGTTATATTACTCAGTGGGCTGCAATGTATCCGCAGAAGATTGACGCTCTGTTTTACGCGCATTCCATTGATGAAGTTAAAGCACTTGGTCCTTTGCTTGAGAAGTTCAGAGGTACTGTTGGTAAAAAGGCTTATATCGCGGTTTCGGGTGGGAAGTTCTGTCCTTGCGAGGATGCGGCCTCGGCCTTGAAATGGCCTAGGGTTGTTTGTAAGGAGAGGAGATTCAAGATTTTTGATTTGGAAGTTGGAGCTATCTTGGGTGTATCGAACTCAGAGGTGCCTGTATTTCAAGCTGTGTATTCGAGCATGAAAGGGCTTATTAAGATTCATAATCCAAGTGTGGTGATTACGGTAGCTGATGCTGATCCTAATGTCAAGAAAGCTTTGAAAATGGCTACCGAGACAAATCCTAATGGCACTGCACTGGTTCTTCTCCCGAGAGCTTCTATCTCCAAGGTTCTATGGATGGCTGATCTAAGATCAACAGCATTGCCAAGTAATTATCAACATTTTGCTTTTTTGTCTTTTATTTGGCTTTTGCGGTTTTGATTTACCCGAACTGACATAAATTTTATGATTGCAGACTGGAATAAGATGAGAGTCTCAGTGAACATCATCACCCAAAACCGAGCTCAATCTTTATTAAGATTGCTTAGGTCTTTGAGCAATGCATACTACCTTGGCGACGAAATATCACTCAGCTTCAACATGGATAGCAAAGTGGATGAAGAGACGATCAATGTAGTGAGCACATTTGATTGGCCTCACGGACCAAAAACCCTAAGAAGAAGAATCATCCAAGGAGGCTTAATCCGAGCTGTCAGCGAGAGTTGGTATCCAGCTTCTGATGATGACTTTGGTCTCTTGCTTGAAGACGACATTGAAGTCTCTCCTTATTATTTCCTCTGGATCAAATACGCTCTACTCGCTTACCACTACGACCCTCAAGTCTCTTTCCCTGAACTCTCCTCGATCTCTCTTTATACACCCAAAATAGTCGAAGTTGTCAAAGAGAGACCCAAATGGAACCCAACAGATTTCTTCAAACAAATCCATCCACACACACCTTACCTTCACCAATTACCATGCAGTTGGGGTGCCGTTTTCTTCCCAAAGCAATGGAGAGAGTTCTATGTCTACATGAACATGAGATTCACGGAGAACGCCAAAGCTAACCCGGTTCAGATTCCAAAATCGAGAACCAACGGTTGGCAAGCTTCTTGGAAGAAATTCTTAATCGACATGATGTACCTAAGAGGATACGTTAGTCTCTACCCAAACTTCCCTAACCAATCAAGCTTCTCAACCAACCACATGGAACCAGGAGCGCATATCGCAGCTAAAGACAACGTCGTAAAACACAACAAAACCGACTTCGAAGTTCCATTGCTTATGGATGATTTCAGAAACTTCTTACCGAACCAGAAACTCCCTCCGCTTTCTAAGCTTCCATCACTCAATCTCTTCAACATGCCGGTTTCTCTTAAAGGTCTTAAAGCTGCAGGAGCTAAGCTTGGTCAAGATGTTCTTCGGTGCAACAATGTCTCTGAGATCGTCGCCGTCAATCATCAGACAGGTTTACCGGCTAGATGCATGAAGTTCTGAAGATCTTTCTACTAAACGGCCAATAAAAAAAGGTTATTTGGCTGTGATTTTTCTTTCTTACATCTGTGGATTCTTGTTGATTCTTTGTTTTTTGAAATAGTTTATATTACAAAAAGGATTAAATATAGTAAGGGATGTGAAAGTGAAACTGTCAAATGTAAAAGAGATAATGTTGTCACCTTAGTTTAACTCCCCTTTATAAATAACTAAAACAAAATTGTCACATCTTTTCCTTTATATCTAGAGATTGGTCACATCGTTAAAACCAAATACATTATGAAAGAAAAAAAATGAGTAACAACATTTGATCATAAATTCATAATAATTAAAAATCAAGACAGAGACTCCTAAACAACAACCAAAAATTTGAGCCGTCTAACGTAAATTTTAATTAGTCTTTTTCCTTCTGTCAATCGAATCACACAAAAGACCAGTTTACAAAAGAGAAAGCAAGACAATGCAAATTGTTGTTGTTGTCTTCAGATGCAGCAAACACTTTCCAAGCAACAGCTTGTTCATAACTCACATGTCTTCCCATCGTTGATAAACAGACTCCTGAAGGCAAGCAAGCAAATCCCTGTAGAGGCAAAGACAGTTCTCAGACAATGAATCGAAAACATTTATCTGCAGATTGTTTTTTTTGTTTCTTTACCTGTTGCATTAGCTTGGCGAAGTCGGAGCAGAGAGCCTTTCGACCGGATTCATCAAATATTTTTTCGAGTGTTATGTCTTGTAAGGCTACAAGTGTTGTCTCTAGCATGTCTAGACCAGCTTGGTTCGCAAACATGAACACTGGCTGTGGCTGCAACATATCCATACCACATTATACGTCTAAAACTTAAGGTGTATTCAGAACCATTCTGACACAAAACTGAAATGATCAATCCGAAAATGGAACCAAATTCTATTCAGGATGGTATTAGTTTGGTTTAGGACACATACCTTTAAAGAGCAACACAATATGGCATCTTGGTGATCCCATAGAAGTTTTAATACCGAGTCGTTGCTTCCAAGTGAGTCAATCGTCAGCAACTCCGAGCCTAAGTGGTGACTAGAAAAACAAACATATCCAACGTAGTAAGATATCATTAATAAGTTCGGGGTTTATAAGAGAGAGACGTAAGTAAACATTTAAACCCACCTGTAACTTTGAGAGATCCACTGGGCAAGAGTAACAGCTTCAGGAGATCCCGGGGACAATTTGGAGCCCAGACTCGGGCTTATCCCAGACGGTGAGATCGCCATTGCAACACGTTGAACTGATGAAATCACGCTTCTCACATACTGACAAGCCATACCAGCAACATTTTCTTGCAAGTTGTTTTCAAAAGGGAATTGAAAAGCGATAGTGAGGATACATCTCGAGCTTGAGCTAGAAGAAGATGAGTTTCCAGAAGCATTCTCTGGTGATGGACCAACTTCGAGGCTAGAAGTTAAGTCTAACGTTCGGTGATTAGCGGTTAACAGATCTTGTGCATCTCCCTGTATGAGTAAGAAAATGTGAGCCTTGAAACAAACCATAGTAAAAGAAAAATCGGTGATGGAGGAAATACGAGTACCGTTTTAGCATCAACGGGTATGACTCGAAATCCAGAAGGAACAAGTGGAGCATCATCCGGGAACATCTCATTAATCGGAGCAAATATCAGTTCAGAACAAGCTCCAACGGCATTCTCGTCAATCCCGGTACAAATCTAGCATACATCATTAAGGTCAATTTAACTATGAAATGGGAGCAATGTCAAGATCCATTGGTTAGAAGTGATATACCTGAAGGAGATGGACATCCCGGGACATAAATGCATCTTCTTGTGCAAGAGAATGACCCTCTAGTCTAACAACTTCAAGCATCTGAAGCATAACAAAACCAAGTACACATTAAAGAAAGAACACAAAAATGATGTTTTCTCGGCCAGTACGACTTTGAAGCCTTACTTCTTCGTGTTCAATTGTATGCCCTAGTGGCATTATGATCTGACTCCCAGTGAACCTTGTCGGTCTCATTCCCGGATAAGCAAAGGTACCAGCTTTAAGTGTAGCGGCGGAGTATGCATCAACATTGAAATCAGCCCATTCGGAGCGATGCTCTCTAAGGAACCGGATCAAAACCGCAGGAGGAACATTCTACAGAAGACAATAAAGAACACAAATTTCAGCCATTAAAAAGGGTCAAAAGAACACAAAGTACCAAAACTGGGCACACTAACTTACTTGGAGAAGCATTGAAGCCTTAGCACAAAGCACGCCTCCGAGGAACGAAAGAGAATTAGAAATATTATTCAAATGCTTTGTAGAGTTAATAGCAACGATAATATCTTCCGCGCCATCACAATGCATTGTAGACCACCCGTCGTCACCAAAACCATTAACCGCATCATTAAAACCCCTTCAAGAAACCAAGAACAGATAATATGTCAAAAAGCAAACAGAGCAACGAACAATTAGATTTTAGCTCAAGATCGAAGTACCTGCTTAATCTTTGGCTAAAGGTTCTAAGAACAGCGGGCTGCCTTCCTAATCCGTAGACTACTTCACCATTAGACTCCTGCGCTAATTGCCTAATATACCGCAGTGCCTAAAACATGATCACAACCCCAACCATTAGATATGTATATGGATCAATCATATCTTAAGGATATATATGTAACACTTACGGAAATGGTCATTTTTTGTGCAACGACTTTGGATGACTCATAAAGGGGTCGAAGCACATCCGGAACACTCCAAGCCTACAATGCAAGAACAAATATTTATAATCAATCCTTCTGGACATGTAAGGAAATAAACACTAAATGTCATATGTGAAGATCTAATTACCTCGAGGTTAAGGTGATCGACAATGTGAATAATTGAACCGCCACCATCACAAGGTCTTATTAAATACCCACTAGAAAGCATTTCTGCTCTCACAAACTGAGAAGCTGAAGCAGCATTTGGCCCAGCTCCAGAGCCAGATAGTGACCTCTCACAAACCTTTTAAAGACACATGGAAAACATCAATATCCCGCAGTTTTTAGGTAAACACTAGACAGACATTATGAAAGTTGCATACCACAAAACTGCCATTGTCAAGGCTCGTAGTGTATCTCAGGGTCCAGAAATCGCGGGCAGGAGCCAGAGTCGTTGGTGCATATGTCTGACCAAAATCCATTTCTCTACTTTATTAATTCATCTTCAGGTTTTAGAGATAGAAAACTACACTAAAAGAGTAAAAGATTTACCTGCATATACACAAGCTCGATTGTGCCACCATTACCAGCCGGGAACATAGTGAAAACTTCAAGGCTCCTACAGTCACGGAACCAAGATGGCCGATCTTTGAGGATCTCTGCAATCTGCAAGAAAACAATAAACCCAAAATGGTTGAAAATGAAACATTATGACTTGAGTCTTTAGCAACGAAAAGAGAGGCCCTTTCTTACCTTCATAGGTTCTAAACTAACAAGACCACAGGCTCGAGCTGCCACTCCACTGCATCTTTGCGAAATAGCAAAGATGCCAACCGAATCCGGACCAGGCTAAAACACACAACATCAAATTTCACATTTCAATATTACACATATTGCCGTAGAGATCAACAGATAAAGAAAGACATAAGTAAAGTTATAGGAGACGCCTATAACCTTCATCCCAGGCATCTGAACCCAATCAACAGCAGTTCCTGTAGCCTTGGATAGGAACTCTGCCAAAGTCTCCTCTGCGATTGAGAGCAATCTAAGACCAAAACCAAGCAATTAGGCAAAGCAAAAAAAGATTTAGAAAAGTCACTACAAAACCAAGAATGAAACTTTACCCAGCAGGACTATTCGCATCTCTAAGCGAATGCTGAGGAGTGTTGACAACAGATTCACAGCTAGGATCGTTCACCTGAAGTTAAAACAACAAGTCAATAACTTTACAACTCAAGCTACCTATTGAATGGATAGGAGGTAACACTTGATTCTTTAAGAACACATTTGAAGTTACATACAACAGTAGTTAGCTGCTGCTTCATATATCCATTTTCGCATACAAGCTGAGAAACCTGCTTCTGCAACCTATCATTTTCCTCCATCAACAGTTTATTCATCGCAGAAAGCTTCCGGTTTACGCTTTGGAGCCTCGACGCCTCTTTCCTCTGCTTATCCCGACACCTAAAAACCACACAACAAAACCAATCAGCAAAATTGCTAAGATTAGACAATAACCATATACTGTTGTCAAAAGAACAGTTATACAAAGCTAATGAGCAGAAAATGAATAACCAATACTAGCAGACAGATTCAAAGGATCCCTTTTGTAAGAACAGGAAATTGTGTCGGAGAATTGAATTCAAGCAACAAATCTTGAAATAAGAACAAAAGTGGTCCTTCTCCTTCATATCCATTGAATATAACAACACAGATTCTAAATCCAAAAGAATCAAATTCCAAATCCCTAATTAAAACTCCTACCTATTATAGAGAAGCGGCAATTAAAAAGAGAATCAGTACCTCCGGTTCTGAAACCAGACTTTGATCTGCTTAGGCTCGATATTGGCCAAAATGGAACATTCACGGATCAATTGTTGTCGTCGGAGAGAGCTAGGCTTAGGACACTCAGCGTAGACACGCTCAAGAGCTTCCACTTGCTCAGCCGTGTACCTAACGTACTTACCGCTACTGTCTAAATGTCTATTCATACTGTCACTGCTTCTCTCACGGTGGTTAGCCACCGCCATCTCCATTTTTGCTCGACCCTCAAAAAAAACACCAAAGTCTCAAACTTTACTGTTTGTCTAGCTTCTTCTTTGGCTTTTCTTTTCTCTTTAATTAATTTTCTTCGGAAAGTCCGTCGTCGTATCTTAAGAGAAACGTAAATTGTAATTCTTTTCAGACAAAGAAGATTCTATGGTCGTGGCTTGTAGCGAAAGACCAACGACATGTGGAAATAAAAGAAAGCGAAGAAGAGAAACCAAAAAAAAAAAAGTTAAAAGTTTTAAAGAAGAGAGATTCAGAAGATCTGAGAATTTTAAAGATTCTTCAAGAGAAAACAGAATAACACCCAAAAATTACAGAGTTTGGGTTTTCTGGGGAAAAACAGAGAAGACCAAAGAAAGTGGTGATGTCAACTCTCTTAAGGAAGCATTATATCAGAATTGAGGACACAGAAACCTTTGGAACAATGAAGAAGAAGAAACATGAGGTTGGTACAATTGAAGCTGAAAAGTTTTCAAGAAGACTCTGAACAACACTAAAGGGCAATTATAATTCAAGGAGACTTCAAAAAAGAGAGAAAGAGAGAGTTGGGTTATGTGAGAAAGGGGAGAGAGAGAGAGAGTGATGTGTGTTTGCTTCTGCTGAACTTAGAACAGAGGAGGAATAAAAGAGGAAGAGAGAGAAAAATTGTGAAACAGAGGATTTGCACGCAAACCGACAAGCTGTGCATCAGCGAAAAAGAAAAGTGGTGCGTTTTTTTCTTTTCTTTATTTATTTATTTAATAAATAATACGGCGATCATTTACGAAGTTGTCCCTACTGTTTTTGTGAAATGACAATATAGGAATCCATTTATTTACTTTTTAATTTTCTTCATTATTGATACGAGATATGTAACTATTAATTTTCTTTTAAGTAAGTTTTTTTTTTTTTTTTTTTTTTTGACAGCTCTTTTAAGTAAGTTTTAGTTACCCAAAAAAAAAAAGTTTTAGTTACTAGATATCGGCAATCACAACATATGACTTTCAAATCCGTTAAAAACATTCAAATATTGTAAGAAAACTAACTCCTACATTACTTTGAAAAAAATTAACAAACGATGAAACATTTCATGCATCGTTTCAAAGTCATATAAGAGATGTCATTATTCTAATTTAACTGCTATGTGTTTACTCTGTTGACGTGTTATAAAAAAGTTAGTCACGCTTAACGCTCATGCAAAACCGAACATATATGTGTTATTAGATGGTATTGATCCAGTTTTCAAACTCAGTTAAGGTTTATACTATTGATACCACAATGAACATTTTATACGAAAAATATACTGTAAGAGATATCTTACAATCCTGAGTAAAAGAAAGATAACAAACCTAAACATTAAAAATCTAAGCAAAGAACTATCATGTAATGTGGTTAACATTTCCTTTAAACTCTTCTAGTCACTTGCTTGATCAAAATTATAAAATTTTCCATTTAGCTAAATTTTTCAAGTTTTTATATGGTTTTCATATCACCATTGTTCTCTATTGGTTGACTGGTTTTTAGGGTTGTACTCGTATATTAATTGATGTTGAAATTTTTTCAAAATCTGACCAGTCACACTCTATATATGACCCTAATAATTAAAACTTTCAAAAATGAAGTTATCCACGGCTTGTAATTTTAATTAAGAGGAACTACTTATATTCTCCGATGAAAGTTTAATCATTAAAAAGGTAGAGCGAAACTCGATTATAAGATCTGGTCGTCTCGTAAAGTTATGCTCTTGATGCTGTGCTTGTAATTAATTCAACAAGATTTTTGTTCAACTTTATTAAGTATTAAAGAGATGCACAAGACTTTCAATGTAGTTAAGGATATTTCGAGTTGCAAAAATTCAAGAATATAAATTCGACATTATTGAAAGCCAGAAAATAAAAAATCGACGTTATTTAGAAATAAAGAAAGCCTATGATCGCTCTCTGTCTCTGACATAATCATTTTAACACATCAAGCAATCAAAGTTATGTCTTGTTACAAAACACATTCTCTCACTATCCCTTTGTGGTAGTGTTTTATTTGTTAGCATGTCTTATCTTCATTTATTATACGAACCAAATTTGTATTATTTTAAATATTTATTCCAAATTGTTTTCAAATCAAACTGTTTAGGTATGGACTGTAAATAGTTATTTCCAAATTATAATTATGGTCTGGAAAAGGAAAAAGGAATAGCTAGCGTATATAAGTAAGATATGAATGGTAAATTTGTTTACTAAGTGTTTATTTTCACTTCAAAGATACCGTAGTTAGGTGTGATATGTAAGAACTAAGAGTGGGCTAGTAATCAGAAAGAGGTGTTTAAAGCCTAAATGAGCTAGTTAATATAAAACTATCTGACTAAAGCAGTGAATAACTTAATGTTTAAAAAGAAAACTGAATAATGAATCAGAAGACAGTGATCAGTCAAACACACTGATACGACTAAACCTCTTCGACAAATTTTTACATATCATGATGCTGCCTTTTTCTTTCATCTGTAAGTGTAATTACTTTCTGTAAAAAACTTTTTTACTTTCTTTTAGTTCCAAATTTAATACCTTTTTCCTTTCTGGTTTTTTTCTTTAAGTAGATAGTAATTTCACATGTCTTTTTGTTTTAACAGTTATAATTTCACATGTCAATATGTTACGTGTCATGTATGTTGACAAAAAAAAAAAAGAAGTGTGCATCATGTATTTTGAAGCGTGAAATAACCCAAAACATGAATAATTTTTTTCCTATTTATTTATCTTCTAGAAACTAGCTATAATATTAATTTCTATAATGCGAACCAAAACTGTTATGTTATAAGATTATTGATAGTGTTTTTTTTTTGTTAACCGCGATACGTGAACAAAACATCTTCTTATTATCATTTCTAAAGAGGCCAACAAATTGTTCTCATTCGGAAAACTAGTATGCATAAATGACTAACCTCTCAAAACAACGCACTGCTCTCACTCCAACATCTTCATACGCAGGACCGGCGTTGAGGGGGTGCAAGAGGAGCAAATGTACTGGGCCAAAAAATTTTTGGGTAAATTTAAGGGTCCAAATTTTTTTTTTAAAAGAAAAAATGATAATTTTTAAGATTTTAAGATAATTTTAGAATGAAAAAGGCCCAAATATATATTTTTAGTATGAAAAAGACCAATTTTAAAGATTTTTTTAACATGAAAAAGGTCAAAATTTTGTTTTTTTCTATGAAGAAATGGCCAATTTTTTAAGATTTGTATAGGAACTCTAAATTAATTGAGCCGGTCCTGCTTCATAGTATAAGATAAATTTAGAATTTGCATAAATGACTAACCTCTCGAAACAAGCCTAGCAGATATAACTCTCAAACACACACAAAATCGACCATTATTTACTACACTCGTACAAGCTGGCCAAATTTACAAAGGAGGATGGTTGCTCCGACATATATAACTTTTGATAACATGATATTAGGTGTGTGTTTTTTTCTATTTTAAGCCAAGACGAAATATGACAAATGATATAATTAGTCACAATGATATATTTTGAATTTATAGAAATTTGGTTTCCTTCTGTTTGTTAATGAATGTGGATCACCAAAACAACGAAAAAAAATTTATGAAAAATTGACAATTTTTTTTAATGAGAAAATAAATATAAAAAAATGGTTCCTTAATTCCAGACAATCTGCGTCTCTTTTATGGCGCGCTCAGGTAGGCCCCACCTTTCCCTTCAGTCTTCAATTATCCGTCACACATCGCCGCACTATTTTCTCTTCTCTTTTTTTTTCTTTTTCTTTCGTAATTATTTTCTTTCTTGTACCATCTACTGTTATTTAGGTCCAAATTCTTTTCTACATTTTATTCGAAGAAATATTATATCATATATATTTCCTTATCCTATATTTCATTCGATACATGTAAGATCTATCAAATTTCACTTATCTTAATCCTATACTATACCACATATGATGGAAAAACAAAAATTAAATTACTGCGTTTAGGACACAAAAATAATTAGAAAAATGCAATTTATAATCAAATTAAATACATTTTTAGTGTTCAACTTCAACCATTACAAACACAATTTTCTTCTCTCTTCTTTTTTTTTGGCTCACACAATTTCCATTTAAACACGTTGATTTGGTAATAAGAATTTCTACTTGCCGAAAGAAATTACATTTTAATTGTTTTTATCTACTTTTTCATTTGAGACCATTTCACTATTTCAGTATAATATATAAAATGAAAAGTGTTGACGATGTGGTATTTCCATCAGCTTTTCGCATGCGCCAAAAGTAACTCTCACGTGCTGGCCACACATTTACACCCTTTTATCTATTTCTTAAATAATTTTATATTAGTATTATTTTATCATATTATAATAAATTATTTATATAGAACTAAGTACTAACCTATGAATTTTATCATAACTATTGGTATCATCTATTCAGTATTCCTTCAAATAGTGATGGCAAAATAAATATTGCAGATTATGTAAACCGAACTGAAACAATAGTAAATATGATATGAAAGTTAGAGTAGAGATTGTAGTTACACAACTGTTTCCAAAATGCTCCACTGTTTTGTTTGGGACTAGAGTTCACTTGAGCGTAATATTATTCAGCTAGGGTCAAATAACGATATATGTATAGAACCACACTCGGAGGCAGACTAATGAAGTGCTATGTTTCTAATTAGTTTAACTAACTATATAAGTTTTTATAAATTAGCTAGGAATGTGAGCGGTTTGTTTTATGTACATGTAAATGATCTGATTGTTACTATCATTCATAAATCTGCTGCTTTTAGGGCTTTCTTTTGTCATGATTTTCTAGGTTGATTCAAACTTTGAGACACTTGTCGTTACTTATGAGTTATGACTGATAATGATAATTCACAATTTCGCAATGTAGTATATATAGTGACCCATGCATGTGCTTGATTGTTTCGCAAGCGACAAATTAAACAGTTAGAAAATAGTTAATTAAAAATGGCTATATCATCAACTTCTTCTTTTTTAACTTCCGGTTGAAATTAGTCTTTTTGCTCACAATCATTACCTTATTTTATTTCATAGTGTCTACCGATGAAACCATTAGCTATGAATGTTGTATTCTTTCAAATTTTATAAAGATCATG